TTATAGTTAGTTATTTGTTTTTATTTTATTATTATTTTCCTTTACTTTACATTATAGATTTGTTTAGACTATGTACTTACTGTAGCTTGTAGAATTACTCACCTTATTCTGATTTAATTTAAGAAAAAACTAGTTGGTTTGGTATTTAGCCTTGAGGCAAGTTACATGAACTTCCCGATATGTGTAAATAATTGACTTAATCAAAAAAAAGTGTAAATAATATACTTCATCAATCCTACTTTAAAAAACGATAATAATTTTAGTAAAGTTTGACGAATTTTTAAAATTAAACTACTTGTCGTAATGCCGTAATATTACAGTAAGTTCTATAAGACCATGATGTATATCGCCAAAAAAAAGTTCCATGAAAATCGGCTTAAATTTTTTTTTCAACAGTTCATTACAAGAAAACGGCTCGGTAGATTTTCACCTAAAATTAATCAGTACCATTCCCAACTAATATCTTTCGAACAGTTTTTGATTTTTTAAAATCGGTTCGGTAGGATGAGCTTAAATATGGACGAAAAGTTTAACACTTTTTTTTAAATTGCAAAGAAACGGCTTGGCAGATCGTCGCACAAAACTGACAAACGATAGTCCTCACCGAAATACATCAAATGGCTTTGAAATTTCTGAAATCGGTTCAGGCGCTTTTGAGAAAACGTCGATCAAAAGTCTAATTTTGACAAATGTCAAAAAAACTATACCAATTTTTGCAAACTTTGACGAATTTTTAAAGCTAAACGAGTTGTCATAGGGCCGTAATATTTTAGTATGACCTAGAAAACTATGGTATCTACCGTCAAAAAAAAAATCATAAAAATCGTCAATTTTTTTTTTTTAAAACGTTATTACAAGAAACGGCTCGGCCGATCTTTACCAAAAACTAATCAGCACGATTCCCAATCAATATCTATCGAATGGTTTTTGAATTTTCAGAATCGATTTAGAATTGCGGGCTAAAACGTGGGCGAAAAATTTTTCACTTTTCTGCAATTTACAACGAAACGGCCTGGCCGATCGCCGCACAAAACTCAGAGACGATAGTCCTCATCGAGATACATCAAATGGCTTTTAAATTTTTAAAATCGGTCCAGTCATTTTTGAGAAAACGTCGATTTACGGCAAAAAATCTGTTCACATACACACACACACACACACACATACACACACACACACATACTTTTTCCAAATTTGGTCCCATTCGATTCAGAATGGCTTGAAACGTCGAGAAAACATAAAATTAGCGAATCGGATTTTTTGATGAAAACATAAACTTCTCCTTCGGGAAGTTAAAAAAAAAATAATAAAATTATTATATACTAATTTCAAACATTCATATAAACTGCATATTCCTGCACTCGATTTTTTTATCAAATTTAATATTATATTTTCAATAAAATTTATATTTATTCAAGGTAATCTATAATCCAAAAAATATTATATATTATATACAAATTCTGTATTTTCGAAAATATTATAATTGTATAAAAATGAATTTATATAAAAATATATACACACAAACCTATATACAAGTAAACAAATGTAATGAGTGTTACGTATCGTACAAATAAATTTTACATTAAAACAATATTTGGTATGAATTATAATAATATACATCCATTCATCATCTTAAGCTTTGTAATAAATCTAGGACACATGGGAGGTTTAACCGTTTTCCGTAATTTCACATCATATTAAATCATGCTCAAGGGTGCTAAAATATATTATCTAGTGATAAAATTTACACCCAAAGTACTTGATTATTTATCCAGGTGACCCAACTGTTTTTGGTAACTTGAAACCTCATTCAACAATCCCAAAAGCCTTGTGCAAGGCCTTAGAATCCGGAAAAAACAACGGTTACGGTCCAGCCGTTGGTTTTCCAGCCGCCCGAGAGGCCGTCGCAAAATATAGCCGACATCAAGGCCCAGTCACAGCTCAGGATGTCATCCTTTGCAGCGGTTGTTCCTGTGCCCTGGACATGTGCATATCAGTGCTGGCCAATCCAGGAGAGAATATACTGATGCCCAGGCCTGGTTTCTCGATTTATAGAACTTTGGCCGAGGGGATGGGCATACAAGTTAAATATTACAATCTGCTGGTAATAAAGGATTAAAATAGTAAAAATTATTACATCCAGTTTTATATGTCTTTTACTAACTTTTCCTTTATCATTTCCACCCAGCCCGAACGTGAATGGGAAGTAGATCTCCAACACATGAGGTCCCAAATTGACGACAAAACTCGTGCCATGATCGTCAATAACCCATCTAATCCTTGTGGATCAGTCTACACAGCTGATCATCTGCGTGATATCCTCGATATTGCTTCCGAATTTAGAGTTCCAATTATTGCTGATGAAATTTACGAACATTTCGTATTTCCTGGCAATGAATTTCATTCCATGGCTAGCTTGAGTGATGATGTACCCATACTTTCTTGTGGCGGTCTCACGAAAAGGTAGTAATATTGTCTCATATAAGATTTACTACTATCATCTATTTTGTTCTTAGGTTTTCGTTATAATTTTCAGGTTTTTGATTCCTGGTTGGAGAATGGGTTGGATTATAATAAATGATAGAAATGATGTTTTCAAGGGGGTACGCAAAGGCCTCCAGAGTTTAAGCACACGTATAATTGGCAGCAATACCTTGGTACAAGGTGCTTTGCCAGAGATATTGGCAGATACTCCACAAGAATATTACGATGATCTTGTTCTTACACTCGCGGTATGCAAGATTTATTATAAATATTAATTAATCAATATATGCCATCTTTCTATCTCTTAATTGTTCATTTCAATTCTTCAGAGGCATGCCAAATTAGCATACGAAATGCTGAAAGATTTACCAGGTTTGACCCCAGTAATGCCTCAGGGTGCTATGTACATGATGATCGGTCTTGACATGGAGAATTTTCCGGAATACAAAACCGAGATGGATCTTGTACAGGAGTTGGTCAAGGAACAGAGCGTTTTTTGTCTCCCAGGACAGGTAAAAAAATAAAAGAAAATCCTATTGCAAAATTTATAATATATGTATATCATATTTTTTATCCTACAGTGATTTCTATATTTATTTAACACAAAACTTCGTAAGATATTTTTAATTTGTTTAAAAATTTAATTAACTTTATCCGAATATGTATGCTGATAAATTGTGATAATAGTCAGCATATTTCACCTTTAACATTTTGATATTTTTTTAGCCAAAATTATGAAATATGTTTCAGATTCGCGAGATAATTATATAGAATTATTTTAAATAAATTTAACTATAATGTTTTAGTGTTTTGAGTATCCTAATTACATGAGGATGGTGCTAACCGTACCTGAAGAAATGATAGAGGAAGCTTGCAAGAGGATTGCTGAATTTTGTGAACAGCATTATAAAATGAACAATAATATTAAAGTAATGCAAATATAAGTTAATATTTAAAAATTATGAAGAAAGGATGGGTTACTATCAATGTATACGACAAGTTTTTTAACTACTTATTGGAATTTTATATTTATTAATGCATATCCCATCGAATAAAAAGATCAAAAATATCAATTTTTAAAAGACAAAAAAAAACTGTTACTAATATAATACTCAAATTTTGTATAAGCATTTGTATAATGTTATTATTTTTTTATTGATGGTCAAGTTCTGAAATCATCAACAGGATACTTTTTTGTACTATTTAGCAGTGATATTATTCTTTGTCAATTCTTCGTCTCAAAAATTTTGATAGTTTTTGATATTATGAAAAAAATTATAAAATGTTTACTTCTAATTAATTTGTAAACTTCTGCTAATGAAGTATTTTCATGTAAAAATACATTAGAGCTTATATTAAGCTAACCGATATAATTTTCATTTACAAAAATTGTTTGTGAAATATTCAGCGTTTGTGACGCAGATGTTTGTTTAAAAGCATTTTTTTATTGAAAATGTAAAGTCATGTTGTGATATTCTGTAACAGACTGTAGCACATATAAATAAATTTAGAAGCAGTAACCAAAAAATGTTTTTTTTAAATATTAATTTAAGGTAAGAAATTTATTTACTTTATATATCAAGTATCTGATATTTGTTAATTTTTTCATCATCAAAATTATATAATTGATTACAGAAGAGACTTTAGGAATTGGGAACGCACATTATGCTCCAATGAAATTATTCTACTTTTCCAGTAAAATATTAAATAAATAATTTATAATCATCTTGTGAGTGTGGCGTATCAGGTAAGATTTATACCGTTTTTAATAAATCAACAAACAGGTCCTATTTATAAAAATGTACAAAAATGTATCGAATATCGATTGATATGGAAAATATAAAATTGTAGAAGACGAATTGTTATTGGTTGGTATACCTGAAATTTATCTATATTTTCCCAGAAAATTAATTCAGTTCGTGTTGGGTGTTCGTAGGATTGAGGTGAAATCATGGTGTTTAGTGCAAAAATTGTGATAAAATACTTTTGGATTCAGTAGCCAAGGAGAAAATACAAATCATGGGTAAGTCACCTTAATTTAGTTGTAAATTTATTTTACCAAGACATAAAAAATAAAACATATTTGAGTATACGAATACATTTTAATCGACACGTTAAAATATACATGTTATAAAAGAATTATTCTGTATATGTATTTATAATTGTAATAAGTATATACATATACAAATCGACAAAACACTGATTCGTTAGATATAAGTGCCTTAATTAGAATTTAATATAGGTACAATATTTATACAAGTTAGTTAAATACAGTTAGTAGAATGAAACAGTTAGCAGACATTGAAATTAGTAAAAATAATTTTTAGTTTGATCGTAATAAGAAAATGTTCAATTTGTAATGGTTTCTTGAAAAAATAATCGCAAATTATAATATTTATGTCACGTGTAGACTGAGATAGTCTACGATGCTTGAATTTATTAAATAATTCATCACGACAATTAACAGTAAATTAATGAATTTTTAAGATTCAAAATAACAAGCTAGATTTTTTAAATAAAATTGAAACCATTTCCAGATCAACTTCTTTGTTATTATCCATAACTTTTTAATGTTCAAAGCAAATTAAATTTTTTTTATTCAGTTATTGAAATTGAAACAACCTTCTTGTAATTATTTAAGAAAGTTATAATATTATTAATTTCAGTGTCCATATACTAAAGGCACTCAGATAGATCTCCTTTTACACCATACATGCATATTATTTATAGAAGCATATTTTTCATTATTTTTTAAATTAAGCAACTTATTAAAAGATAGTTGCAGTGGGGATTTTCAATTTGTTTTTGAATGAAAAAATGCGTTTGAGAAAAAAGTCTTTCGATTTAGCACTATTATGTGAATTTATAATTTCATTCCTTATCTGCACTATTAGATAATAGATTTTTATTTAATATCATCAAAAATCGTACAGTCATTTCAGAGCTGTATTTTGTTAGAAAATTAGTAGATTTATTAGATATTATTCTATCTGCTAAACAAGTTTCAGATTTTAATCAACATTTAATATAATAAATTAGAAATATAATGTATGCTAGAAATCAATACATTATAATTCATAATAATTGCTTCGAACGTAAACAAATATTTTTCATTTTATTTTATGGATTAATCAAATATCAAATTAAGTATATAAAAAAAATTAATTCAGTTATATAACTATGCCATCATTGATTTATTTCATTCATAAAGATTTAGAATTATTTAAATAATTCCCTTTTAATATAATATAATATTATCGAAGAATAAATATTTACGTTGAGTTATTGAATATTATATTAAGATCACTTTAAATTATGAAATTCTGAATTTTTTCTGAATCTGATTATTTACGTTATTATAAACAATTTTATAAAGTTTTTTTTTTCAATTTATTTTATGAATTTTTTTTAAATTATTCAAATTTCAAACAAAAATCCCCACTGTATGTTTATTAGTAAAGAATAATATAAAAGTGCATGCTATTATTTATCCACAATTATTTTTAAGTAATACTGTTATATCTGCACATTCTTACAACTATAATTATTGTCTTTTAATTACTTAAATTTTTATAGCAAATGTTTCTTGACAACTACATTGATTTTATAGATTTTTACTATTTTTTCACCTATCTAAATATTTGAATGACTCGTAAAATTTGGATATTATTATGAATTCTTGCAAAATAATTTTAATGACTTTATACTACGTTTTGTATACTTTTCAGTTATATATGTAATTTTGCTTGAAATTATATCTAGCATGATAAGAAGCAATATAAAAATGTTATGAGACATTAATTTCTTTAACAACAATAGATTTCAAAGATTTCAGAATTTAAATAGAAATTTACCTAAAAATCATAAATTAGATACTGTATCAAAAATATCAGACCTACATACTTATTACACAACTATTTCAGGATCGTATTAAATTTTAAATAAATGGTTATTAATAATATATATCCAACAAATATTAATAAATAGTTATGTAATCATTGAGCATTATTAAAATTTATTTATTTGTCACTAACGAAATTAATGTCAACTATTTCAATAAAGCCAAAATATTTTATGTTCTCCAATAAAACTTCTAATTCTTTTTGTACACAAATTATTGTCATAAAAATTATTTTATATTCTATTTTGTACTGAATAAATTGATTTTTCGGTTCGTTCAATGTAAATTCATTTAAAATTGCTTCTTGTTAAAATTCCTGTTCATTCTTGAATATTTATATTAATTGATTTTTGTATCTTTAATAATTATATACACGACAAATAGAATATATTTGAGCTTTATAATACATTCATATTCTCAAGGCTCTAATCACATCGTAAATTTTCTAAAAAAATTAAAGTTTTGCTGATTATAAAATTAAAACTATAAACTATAAATATTAATTTTTGTAAAATATTTAAAATTAACGATATAGATAAATGGTAATTTTTATAAGGTACAAAAAAATTAAATTTAATTGATTTAGTTAGTTTTTGCATGAAGTTAATTAATTTCAAATTCAATCACATAAATTAGTATTGTCATAGATAATATCTTATCTTATATCTAAGCAACGAAATATTTAACAGTATAATAATTATTAATAACAGAAATTACAGGATTTTTATAATAAATTTAAACAAATTTAAAAATGATTATATAATTATTTTATAAAAAACAATGTTTAAATCTTAACGTAATATAAAATCTGACATTTTATCCCGGGCTATAAGTATTATTGTAATTAACATTATTAATTAATATCGAATATTATGTTTTATAATATAATTATTTTAGAGCCTACATTTACATAATAAAAATTAAGTAACCGTTTTAATTAATTTTGTTTATTGCAACACTAAATATAGTTAATTTTTTTTGTGTATACATTTATATCAAAAATCGAGAGTGATAAAAAATAATTTTTTGGGTAATAATATTATTTTTTGAAATCAGTACGATTTTGGTTTCAAGCTTGAATTTTGATATAAACATATAAATTATAGTATTTTTTGCAAATAGAGTAAATATTAGCAAATACTTCACAAATAACAAATCGACAAATCTCCTCAAGCTTAGATTTCGACACACTTTGTATATATTCATTAAATTTTAATACTTTCGATTGAAAATATTAAATATATATTATTGTCATAATATTAAAATCCTATTAAACAAGTTTATTGTCAAAACCCTCAAATTTATCACATTTTTTAAAATCTGAATTAGATCTAAATATACAAGAACAAACCTACATCGAAATATTCTTAACAATTCCTTAACATTAATTATTATCATTTTTATATCAATGTTTTAAATATTACAATATGTTTAAGCCTAAAAATAGAGTAAAGTGTCGCGCAGCATTTTGAATGAAAACTCGAATTCATCCTAAATCCAATACCAATTGCAATAAAATTAATTGATTAAAAATATTAAATTAGGGATTGAAATCATTTTGTGGTAAACAAAAGCCAAATCAGCTTCAGCTGACCAAATAAAAAAATCCATAACACTCTTTTTTAATAAAAAGAAAAAATAAAGAAAAATCCTATAAAATAAAATAGAAGTAATATTTAAAATGCATTTTTTTATGTTTTATAATATAAAAATCAGTCAAAAATTTTATTTTCTTATTAATTTTGCAATTGGTACCATATATTTTATATGCTTTCTCATACTTAAAGTATTTATTTATAGCTTAATACTAGTATTTTTATTGTCATACATTACTGAGTTCAATATTATTGTCAAAATTCAGTTAAATTTCGTAAATGTTAAAAATTCTCATTTTTTTAAATCTTGTAGTACAAGATTTTTATTATCCCTTCTTTCTAGCTTTTTGTATTAATAAAATCACAAATTCATTTAGGTCAATCTTTAAAATATGATGATTTTAAATTGTTTTGCTATGTCATATTTTTATGCCAATAAACATTTTTAATAATATTCTTAAAAATTTAATTTCTAAAATAAAAATAG